GTCAGCAGCAATTCCTTAAAACAGAAGGGAAACCAATCCCTTACTTTCTTTTGCTTTTTGTATCAGTTGTTTGAAAAACACTAGAAGCAGACATGAGGTTTTCTATATATTGTCCAAGAACTTGGTTTTCTGATTTTAGCTTCAGATTTTCTTCTTTAACTGCATCTACTCTTGCAGAGAGATCTTCAAGTGTGTGTTGAAGTTCCAACACTTGATTAATAAGTCGTGTTTTTTCTTCAAGTTCCACCTGATTTTCAGCATCAACTGCATCCATGTCAGCACTCATCATCTTGGGTAAAAAACTTTTAGATTTTTGATGTAAAATTCTTGATGAATGATCTTCCGTTTGAGGCGCTGGGAGGGGGTGGGATCAGGAGGATGTCTCAGGCCGGGACACCTGGACCAACTGACACCTGCAGCTCCCTGAGAAATTTCATGATATACTATAGAGGTAACAGTCAATGTGGCACAGGACTGAAAATGCTCTGACAGGCTACTGGAGTTGGAAAAATATAAAGAAGAGATTTTATGAAGAAAAGAAGGCAATACACTTTTTAAATACTTTTAATATTAAATTTCATATTTTAATATTTTAAAATATCCTTAATTTTACAAAATGCTGATGTATCAATCAGGATTATATTTCATTCTGGAAAATAATTATTTAGAAAACATTTTTTTTCTGGCATGATAAATATTGTGCTAAGTAATATAAAGTTTGATAAGGTTATTCCAAACTAGGAACCCAAACTTCTTTTTATCTGCTTCTCTAAATTTTTTATCAGATAGCTTTTGTCCTCATCATCATTACAAGGTCACAAGATGGTTGTTCTACCACCAGCCTCTTGCCTAGTTAAGGTAAAAGAAGAAAGCAAAAGAAAGGAGGAATGGCACTTAATCAGGAATATAAAACCCATCCAGAAATCCCAGCAGATATCCCTTTATGTCTCATTACCCAGAAATGTTATTTCTAGGTACAAAGGAGACTGGTATATATTATATTGTAGCTGGGCATATCACTTTTAAGAAAAAACTGAGCTTCTACAAATTGGGAAGAGAGAGCAATATATATTTTGTAGGCAATTAGCAGTATCTGAGACAGATAATGATACATAATAATACATAATGATAGTAATTATAAGTCCTTTGTGATTTGTTGGTTTTACTATATCTTTACTTGGTGAAATTGAAGTTAGAAGCACATGTTATTCTAACACTACATTTTATTTTACTACTTCTTGAAATCCAGAATTCTTGGAATAATCAAATAAATTATCTTAAATTTATTAATTCTATTAGTTCCAGTGAGATTTTGAATCCATATCTTTTTAACCTAAAGACCACATTTTTCCCAAGAAATAAACTGCCTCTCTAGATTACTGAAAGTTAACTCAATTATTCCTCTAGCCTGAAAAATTTAATGCCCCTCAAGTATGTTGCCTACTTACCTGCCAATATATGTCACAATTTTGTTTGTTTTCCCCCTGCAAATGCTCAGATGAAATAACACAGCACATCACAAGTAATACATGCAAGAAAACAAATTATCAGAAAGGCTCAATAAAATAAACATTCTCTCCTCTAGCTGTTCAAATAAAATGAATCTGATAATAAGTTACTGTTTTGACCTTTATTATATGTGTAAATACAGATCTGTACAATGTATTTGGATAATCAAAAGGTTTCACATTGATGGCATTAGCATACACAGGCATAGAATTCTTTTTTTCTGTTAGACACAAAGATAGGCTTTAATTCTTTGATTCCCTTTAAAAATAGATTTACTCCTTCACTTTTGCGACTAATAAATGGAATTTACCTCAAGGGATCATTTCACTTTCTCTCCTGGTTACCAGCCTGCTGTGAAAACTGCTGGTACCTGCTCAATCTCTGTGTAAATCAACTTTTCCCATTTGTAAAACAGGGAGGTTTTTTTTTTGTTGTTTGTTTGTTTGGTTTTTTTTTTTTAAACCAAGGATTGAACCCAGCACACTTAACCATTGAGCCACTTACCCAGTCATTTTTTATATTTAATTTATGGACAGGGTCTCTCTAAATTGTTTAGAGCCTAAATTTCTGGGGCTGGCTTTGAATGGGAGATTATCCTGTCTCAGTGTCCTAAACTGCTGGGATTACAGGCATGTACCATGGTGGCTAGCCAGGTCGAATTATAGTTAGTAAACAAAGGAAAAAGCATTGAAGCATACCATGGAAATTTCATTTTTTAAATGAAAGAAAAACAAGAATAGAACATATTTTAAGGTGATAACTTTGAATTAAACATTTCTTAAGGAGGATATTCTATACTTATTATTGGGGAGTAATCTTCCACGAGCTCACACCTTACCATTAAATACCCATTTTCCTGGTGGAATAAACAAAATCCAGCAAAAAGCTAAGCTTCCTAAGGTGTTCTCTGTAATTCCAGGTTGTGATTCCTCACTTTTACATCTGCTACCAATACCCCAGTCTGTATTGCCATGGTTATTTAGCTCAGTGACCAAGATTAAGCTCAATTTAACATAGAATATCAGCCAATTTACTTTCTCCTTAATTTTTTCTTCTTTTACTTGAATGAACTTAATTTATTTGAATTATTGTAAAATTCCTGCAAGAATTCTCAGGATGTTGAAGAAATCTAAGGCTATTGTTTAAAAGGCACTGCATATTAAGTTTTTTTTTCTCCCAATCAATTCTGTTGGTTGTTTAAAAAGTGAAGTAAAATTATGAGAATGGGAGGGAGAGGAAAAGAAAGGAAAGGGAAAGAAATATGAACTGAATCTAAAAGAATCATATTATATACACATATAAATGTATATAAATGTACCAAAGGGAATTTCACCTTTATGTGTATGTAGAAAGTACCAATCAAAATAAATAAAGGAATGAAAGGAAAATCAATACAGGAAAGGAGAGAATATGTGGAAGGAGGAGGGAAGAGAAGGAGGAATTGAGAGTGAAATAAAATTTATTGTATATATAATTTTCTCAAAAGGAACCAAATACTCTGTGTAATTATGATGCTCTAATAAAAAAATTAAAATTTTATTGGAAGGGTAAAGTTTCTAAGCTGCAAAGCCTGAGTTGAAATGTAAAGGACTAGGTATTGTAAAGTTTCTGAACTGCACACAGAACCTGAAATTCCTGAGACAGTTAAGACAATGCCCCACTAACCATTTAGTTGATTAATAGCCTAGGACCCTGTGCAGCTTGGCACGTAGGCATTCAGGGCCCGAACCAATCAGTTTGAATGTAACCCCCTCCTTAGGAATGACCTATCACTCCAGCCCGACCTGATCCCGCCAATGAATGTACTAATCAAGTCTAAGAATTGTTGTTTGATTTTCCCGCGGTGTATGGTGATTTGTTAAAGGAAACTGTGATATATGTAAAGTCCGAGCCCTCCCCAAAAAGTGTACTTAAGCACTGCTCAACCCCTGCTCTGGGCTCTGGGCTACTCTCCCTTCTTGAGTGAGCACGGAGCCCCAGCGCACTGGATCAATAAACCCCCTTCTGCGTTTGCATGAATCGGTCTCTTGGTGGTCTCTTCCTCCGACGTTCGCCGGACCCTTACAGTATTTCTTTAGAATGTTGAATTTTAAAATATACCCATCATAGAAAGGGAAAAATAAAAGTTATAAGAAGTTCCTTGTAGTTCTCTACACATCCAAAGACTTATTATAAATCCACAAAGAAATTCACCAGAAGAGATTTATGTTTACAGTTTTTAAATTCTTTATGCTAACACAACATAGAGGGTATGTTGTTTCAAACACACTGTGACTCTACATTTTTGATTCTGAAGAATTTCATTCTGGGCATACTTCCTTAATGAAATCAAGCCACAGTTCAAATTCCTCTGAATACATACTTCATCTTCTATACTTACTAGTAGTATCAACCACAGATGAATCATTTTCCCCTGCCATGTATCATAGACCATCAATCCAAGATCAAGAAGCAGCCACCAGCCAATTATTAGTTGCTTGAGTCTATAATTAACCACAACAACTTGGGGAAGGATTTGAATTTTCAATAAAGAACTTATCTGAATGTACGAAAACAAACACTGAGCTGGGCATGGTGGTGCATGCCTATAATCCTAGAGTTTTGGGAGGCTGATGCAGGAGGATTGCAATTCAAAGCCAGCCTCAGCAACTTAGTAAAGCCGTAAGCACAGTGAGACCCTGTCTCTAAATAAAATACAAAAAAAAGGTTGGCATCCCTGAGTTCAATCCCCAGTATACAAGCAAACAAACAAACAAACAAACAAACAAAAAACCCTGAATGCTAAAAGAGTAGATTTTATTACAAAAATAGGTTGTGCATATGTTAATTAGCTCAATATAATCATTTCATAATCGATACATAATATTAAAACACTGTATTGTATCCTATAACTATAGATAATTATTTTTAACAAAATAAATAAACTAAAAGTCCTTGCAGGATATGAAGAATTAAAGAAGTTTATGGTTCATTCCCACAGGAGAAAGCAATGGGCTAGGGAATGTACATGGTATTATAAAATTCCTGTTTTCGGGGAAAAAAAATTGATTCACAGATGGTACAAATCAGTGTCCTAATTCAGGTCTCTTTGCAGTATTCTAAAAGGAGAGGCTAACTCAGGCACCTTTATTTTTTTGACTGGGTCTATTTTGTCTTAAGGCCTCATTTTAATAACTGTTAAATGGGTAGGGTTTGGGGAGGCGGACCTGGCTCAATTTTAGTATATGGTTTGGTTCAGAGGTAACCGGATAATGTGCCATAGTTCACGGCATAAGAGCTAGACAAATTTAAGCACAGAAATAGGGACTCCTCTTTTGTTATACAAAGTATCTCCATCTAGCCTCTAAAATTGGAAGGGTGCCTATTTTCATAGGGAGACTTTGTTTGGAAGTAGCTATATGTATCCTACCCCAGTTCACAGTGATATTTTTTTCAATACCAGCCAGTGAGTACTGCAGACAATGGGGGAGGTGTAGGTGTAAGAAGCAGACTATTTTGCTTCTTATAAATATACACAAACTTGATTAAGAGAGAAGTTATATTCAAACCATAAAAAGGGGTGAAAATGTGGATGTTATACATCTAGTCCAGCTACCTTTTCCCTTTATATTGTAATGCTAGATTCGTGGGACCCCAATAGACCTCCAGGAGCTGAATCTGATGCAATCACACAAGAGTCATTATTATAAGCTCGGGCCTGCACTCACAACCATTCCAAACGCAGTGGTCCCAGGGAGTGAGTCCTGGCCCTTTGTTTAGTGAGATTTTATAAGTTTTTGGGGATACTCTATGCATCACAACATCACACAGCAAATCATTTCACATCGCGGGGAAATCAAACAACAACTCTTAACATTGATTAGCACATTCAATGACAGGAACAAGTTGGGTAGGGGTGATTGGTTAGT